AAAGGAAATAAGGGAAGTGAAGAAGGAGAATATGTGATTAAACTACTGAGAAAGAGAGCTAGAACTGATCACTTGAGGGCCATGTCGCCTTCTTAAGTGTGGATTCAAGCAGTAAAATAGATTATAAAAGGTGTGATTTTAGTTTAAATGAGCTGCTGAAGCCCACACTGACCTGAGAGGCTTGCGGTCGATGCAGACTTTGTCGAAGATGTCTTTGAGGAACTGCGGTGTGCTCTCCTGTACGACGTGTTGGACCCTCAGCCGGGACTTCAGATACTCCATGAACCGTCTCAAGAAACCAACAAAGTGCTCCGCTGTGCGAATCGTACCAGGGACCGCCTCTGAGAGAGAGCAGACAGAAAGTATTCAAGCTTTTTGAAGACTCAGTTTAGTGTTTTTATCTGAATTATCATTCAACAAAAACAAAATGAATTGATGTCCAATCCTGTTGATGGCCACACCTTTCAGAATTTCATCTGGTAACACGGGATTTGAGAGGTAGACGTCCGTTTCCCTGGCAACATTGGCTTCCTTCAGCCCCTCCACCAATCGCCGGTACTCCTCCTTCAGTTTAGCAGCGTCCGTCTCCTTTATCCTATCAGACACATAATAAACAAATGTGAAGGTGTCGTGTCAAACTGTTTATTATAAGAGGAAACACAGCAAATAATAAAGAAGTACATACACAGGCCTATAAAAACTCTACAGAGGTGTTACAGAGGTGAAAGACGTCTCATTTCCCTAAAAAAGGGTTGTTTCCTTGTGTCACCTCTCCTCACAGACGTAGATGTAATTAGAGGAATCTGCCAGGCTCTTACTTCTGTATGGTGTTCTGAAGTGTGTCCACGTTGGTCTGGCAGCGGTCGAGTGTTCGTCTGGTGATGTTCACACTCATGGAGTCAATACACACGTTGTCTGAGAGACAGAAACAGGAGACGAAGAGGTGCAGGATGAGTCTTACATTAGCTGATGTTAGAATGATCAGAATTACTAAATTAAACTCAGATTTCTGGGACTGATACATAATAAATAAACCCTCACCTATATTATGAGCCTCATCAAACACCACGACAGAGTTCTTGGCCAGCTCTTTGGACACCAGGTCCGCTATCTTGGGGTCCAGCAGGTAGTGGTAACTGTACACCACAATGTTTGCATGCAGGATCTGAGACGGGAGAGAGAAAACAGGACAAACTTAGAGACACAACCTCTGTGAAACTGCTTCAAATATCAAGACATTATTCAGTGAAGAGTAACTGCCAAGAGGAGTTCTTCTTGATGAGAAACATTTATATTATAAACTGCTGTGTTCCCACGACCACAATCAATGAACAATCAATGAAAATCTTTGTTTTAACTTTTAAACCAACTATAAATTCATCCATTAATTTCTTTCCCCAAATACTAGAAAAACATTTGTCACATCAGGCCACGTGTTTCGTACCGAGTAGCGTGCCAGATAGTACGGACACCAGCCTTTCCTCCTGCCGAAATCTTTCAGGTCGTCGAGGTTGTAGATGCCAGCAGGAAGAGGCACCTGTCGGCCGACTGCGTCAAACTCCTACACACACACACACACACGTAATTAAATGTAGGGACAGTGGAAGATAATACGACTATGGGGAACAAGTAACAACTAGGCATATTAAAGGAAAAGAGAAGTGTTTTATTTTTAATGTTAATTATCTCAGTCAGTTGGAGCCTTGTTAGTTAGAAGGTAAATGTCTGAGCTTCCATAATAACAAAGGTACACACATTGTCACTGATGTTGCATAACTTCAGTGCGGCACAAAGCACCGACCTGAGATCACATTATGAGTTCATTCAGAGGACATTTAGAAACCAGACACTGCCTCTGGTCTGTAGTTACACACACTGCGTTACCTGAGTACTTCTCATTGTTTTCTTTAACCTAGTTAGAGTTCCTAACAAGAGGAACATAATGAATGATTTCAGTTTTCAGGTGTCTTTCCCAGGATGCTACAGACTGCTGACACACACACACACACACACACTACACTGCATGAAAACTAGATGCCGCTGTATCAACAGTAAAAAAATCAGACAGCGAGTTGAGTCTTCAAGTTATAATCAATTCAATATAGAGCTCCATTCGTACACAAACCTTCCTCCGACTTCCACTTTAGTTGACAAACACCAGCTGGTCTGAACTTCTTACCTCATAGAAGCGACATACAGGCATGTTGGGGTCACTGTGGCGTTGTGCGCGAATGTACGACGCTGTCAGACTGTGGCACTTCCCATCAACCTCCTTACCGAAGCGCAAAGAGCTCACCTGGAAAGAGACAGAGAAAGCAGAAAGCTCGGTCCTGTATCTAAACGACAAGCTGCTTTCTCACTTGGTCAGCTTTAAATGTGAATGTTAGCGTCATCGTGCTTCGCTCCGTGTTGTATGTCAGGGCCTGATTTGTCCTGGACAGCCGTGGTTCGTACCTCCGGGTGGACGCAGAGGTTCTTTCTGGAGGAAAGGGCCAGAGCCAGGAAGTTGTTGCTCTCTCCAGTTTGTTTGGAGTGAAACTCCATCAACTTCCTCAGCTCCTCCACGACCTGATCACACCGCGGATCGAAGTTTTATTTAACTTTAAAAAACAATTCTTGAGCCATTAGACAGGATAAATTGTGCAGAGAGATTTTATTTGGGGCTGACTCACCTTCTCGATCTCTGGAACTGTTCTGGAGCAGTATATGAGCTTGGTCACTTCCAGAGGAAAGGCCTGAGAAAGAGAGAGAGAGAGAGAAACTTATTACATGTTCATGTGCTGACAGTAACTCCAACCTGAAGACACACGCAGCTAAACTCACCTTTTGGTAGGCAACAATGAGAGACAGCAGAGAGATGGTCTTCCCTGTTCCTGAAGGCATCTCCAGGACTCCATGACCCTGAACCCAACACAACAGTTACCTCCGTCCTCCCATTGATGCAGTAGAAAACAAAAACTGATGAATTTAAACTTAAACCTCAACCTACACTCGTGTTTAATCAGTCGCTAAGTGAAATTGTCTTTTAAGTACTAAATATCCTCTGTTTGTTTCCTCAGAGTAGTAACACAAAAAGGAAGTTTGCACCAAAGACTGTAACTTTACTGCAGAGAGGAGGAACAATTACAGCTATAAATACATACAGGCAGAAGAAAACATCAACATAACCTTTAACAACAATCAATCACAGACACAACATCACTATTTCCCTCTGATAGACACTGTATCTACAGTATTTCATTATATTCGACCACTTGTGTGTATAATAAGCTGTTGTTATTGTCTGTACGTCCTGTTTAATGAACTGAGAGACACTTTAACATCACCCACTCTGGCATCCAGTGTCCTCTTCAGCTCCAGCATGTAGGAATACTGCTCAGGATAAATGTAGTCGTATGGAAAATACACCAGCAGACCGTCGATGTTGAGCCTGAAATTAAAAACAACACAGCTCAGAGACGGTTGTGTATTGTTATTTTTTCTCTTCTATCTCGACACAAACACTCACTTCATGTTGGTAAAGCGTTGCAGAAGCCGCTCCTCTTCGTTGTCAGTCCACTTTCACTGTTTTGATTAAAATTTGATCTAAAAAATAAAAAAACCACAAACACACTTCGGAAGTTGCTTCTTCTTCTACTACGATTTCTGGCAGTTCAGTTTGCGCCATTTGCGCATTACCGCCGCCTAGAGGGTGAAAGATAAACTACTTTAATCACGATGTAAACTGATTAAACATTTACTGTGTGTTAATAACTGTCGTTGTAGCATTTTTAT